TAGGGCATTATTTTTATCGTAGGAGTATGCACTGGATGAAATATGTTCACGGCATTGAAGTCTATGGGGGAGAGAATAGTCTAAAAGTATTATATTTTAGGGCATTATTTTTATCATAGGAGTATGCATGGTCATATTTTAATGGGTATACAGATGTATTGACTGCTATAATGGTCTCTGGGGTGCCAGAAGGTATGAATATGGCATAGGATAGGACAGAGTTCAGAACTTTTGTTTACAGGGTTTCTATGAGTGATACTCGACGGCACCTAAAAAACACAACAATGTAAGTTCATAAACTATCTTTTTCGTTTTTCTGTTAGCACAGTGGCAAGAAGCTCCGCTGAAGTCCCAAAGGCACTGGTCTGAGCCCACCAGCTGCTCCACAGGAGAAGGTTGGGCAAACTCTTCCTGGGTGATTAACTGCCTTGAAAACCTGCTGGAGGGTCAGCTATGGGTTGGTTCCAACTATACAGACACAAAAAACAACAACAGTTGCCTCCAGCAGGTTTTCAGAGCTTACTCACCTGGGAGGAGATTGTTCATGCTTCTCTTGTGAAGCAACTAGTGGATTTGAACTGCATGCCTTCATGTTTGCAGCACAGCTTCTTACCAGTAGGTCACCATTGCTCCCTAATACTTAATCAGACGTTCATCACTTAATACTTAATCATACATTCTAACTATATACTGCCTAGAATTTTCTTGGCTGTATGTACTATTTAAAGAAAAAATTGTCAAGATGTTCTTCTATGGTGCTGCTGAATGGATATGACCTGCAATCTTCAGATGAATGGTTATACAAAAACTATTTGTACTAACCAGGGACCTTCAGGCACATATTTCTTAGCAACAACATTAACCAAACATAGTCCACCATGAATAACCATTGTCACATTTGACACATCAGTGTCACAGTGTTCAGCTTCACAGCAACCACTAGTTACCTCTGTGCAGCAAATGGACATACCAGTGCTATACCACTTAGAAGAATGTTTGACCAAACAATTAGAAGGTCCAATTTATCAAGTGTATCCTTTCCAGATTATGCATTTCTGGCTCTATTTCTGCCTCTTCATACTATAGACTAGACCTTCTAAGGTTGATCCCAATTTGTATCTTATAAGCTATAGTTTTGGGCTTTACTCCCTGGTCTCTGATCCACCTTGAATTGATTTTTGGTATTGTATGGTATGAGATGTAGATATAGATCTGGCTTAAGCTTTCTGCAGGTAGTTGTCTCGTTTTACCAGCACTTTTTATTGAAGAAGTTGTTGTTTCACTATTTGATAGCTTTTATTTCCTTGTCAAGTATCAGTTGGCCATAGATAGATGGGTTCTCAATTCTGTTTCCTCGGATTATGTGCCTATCACTGTATCGATATGATGCTATTTTGGTTATTAACACTGTGTAGTAGGCTTTGTGGCTTTAAACAAGCTGAAGTTGTTAATAATCTCAATATCTTTATTACAGATCATGATGCTGACAATTAGTTCTGTGATTTAAATCTTTGTTTCTTTTTTTGTTGTTGTTGAGATTCAATCTATATTGAAGGTGTCAGTCCTTTACCTTCTGCAGCAAATACCTGAGGTCCTCCTCAGTTTTGGCAAGGAAGGTTGTGTGATCTGCATAATGCAGAAAGCATCAAACGAAGAAAGAGGGGATACATAGAATCACTGTACCAGAAATAACTTATTGGCAGTGAAGAAGGAAATGAAAGGTGCATTGAAGGCACTGCTAAAAAATAAAGCCCTGGCAATCCATGGGATACCAATTGACTTGTTTGAATTGACACATGCAGCCTTCTATGCATTTATCAATCTATGCCAGGAAATTTTCTCCAACCTT